GGGGTTTTTGGGGGGTGGGGGGGGGGGGGGGGGGGGGGGGGGGGGGCTTGTGTAGTTTGTAAAGGGCGGAAGGGGACCACGTTTAATCTTTGGAATTCTGGGTAGGTTTAAGCGTATGCATGTGGGTAGTATGTGGTTGAGTGTGATGGGGTGGCGTGGGGGTGTGTGGGGGAGGTTGTGAGGAATTGTGTGTGGGGGAGTGTATAAGGTGGAGTGGTGGAGAGTGTGTGGGGCAGTTATAGGTCCAGTGATTTCATCTGTGTGGCAGTGAGTTTGTACGTTTTGTAATGCTGTTTGTTTTTTGTGTCTGCCAGGGGAGAGATGTGGTGCACTGTTTTTTTTTAGTCCACTTTTGTCAAATGTCAAGGACATGGCAAATAAATCACGGTAACACAGTTGTTATCTTGTTATGTTGTCATGGCAACTGATAATTATGAAGATCATATTGATAACAAGTAAATGGGAAAATGTAACAGGTAAACACAGATTTTATTTTAGAGGTCTCACCAACAGACCGTGAAGATCTAAGGACCAAATGTTGGTCTCAAAGTGGACCTCACAGATCTAAGTACAAACACATTTTAAAATAAATAAATGCACTAACGCTTAAAGTTTCACTTTTTTTACTTTTATTTCTCTCTTCAGGTTTAACCACTACTGAAAATGTAGCATGCATCTTGACTCAGCAATGTTCAAATTGTGATTGGGTTTTGAAATTCCAGCGTGTCGTGCACTGCTCATCTCTAGATAATTGAAGGAAGATGGTCTTCAGAGCGAGGACTGAGTTCAACTGCAGCTCTGCAAGTATCGTCTCGTTTGGTAAGCAGTGTCCGGGGAAGGGCGAGTTGGTTTAGTTCGAATGGCAAGAATCGCCATGAATCGTCTTCTCATCCGATACCACAGTGAAATAGTTTGGAAAAAGGTCAGAAAACATAGGTCGTAGGTTATGGGGAATGTCAGGTTTGGAAAAGAGCTGGGAGCTGTATAGGAGAGATTCAAAGCTGGAAAAAAAGAAAAATGGAAAAGAAATGTAACATATGAATTTAAAACATGTGGGCTATTAGATTTAAAAACAAAAAACAAATAGTACTTATATCACTCTTTATAATACACATTTCCATAAGAGGTCGAGATATAACAGAATAATGGAGCCATTTCCACAGAGTAATTGGTCTGACAATTAGTAACTAATTTTTTTTTTATGAACGTAGAAATAAAAAATAATAATTTTATACAACTTAAAAGACAATACGTTTTCCCCATGTTCTTGCAATTGAGAATAAACTGATACAATGACTTGAATGATGACTTGAATGATGACTTGAATGATGGCTTGAAGGATGAATTTCAAAAATTAAGAGTTGACGCACGCCCTTGCCAAACCCCTAAGAAACTTAACAGGAAATTACTCTAATTTAATGACGTCACCATGTCAGCAAAAGAATGATGGATAATGTCCGTGGTTTTAAGACAAAAATAATTTTTTACATTATTTGCAAAGCTGAGGAAACTATTTGAGATGTCGTTAATACTTCGGTTTCATTCAATACATTGGCCAAAAATGGAAGTTACAGAGTCGTACATTTTACAAATTTGGAGATGGTACGCCCGGAAAAAGCTCGCGGCAAATTATGTTTGACCTAGATTTGAAACCACGTCATCACTTGCTGTTTGAACATCATCTCTCCATCGCCAGCACGAGACCGCAAGTGTGCCTGGAATGTCCACCGTCGGCCCAGGGAACCAGGGCAAGAAGTTAAGTTATTTCACCAACATTAGGTAGTTCGGTGTCGAGTGTTACAAGGTGGAAACCACGCCCGGGAGTGTGGAAAGGGGGGGGGGGGCAAGGCGAGCGGATGGCGCCACTATCTTGGACGGGGCCGCAGATAGGTCAGTTGTAACAATTGGAACAGGAGTGTTGAGTGATCACACCGAGATCCTGGAGAGCTTCCAAAATACAAGGGAAGATAATATAAAATTCCCGATAACTGCGGCAGATGAGAAAAAATATCGCAAGTGTGTTTGGTGCGTAATATTTTCTTTTGTTTTTTTCTGAATGGTTGGTGAAATAACTCTGCAGTGTAAAAGGGGGTGGGACATTAGAATATTAATATAGTTCAAGGGGGTGGGAAAATGTGCAAATGCGAGAATTGGGGGGGGGGGGGGGCACTAATTGTGATTCTTATAAATTGCTTTACTTGTATGCTTGTTTTTTTAGATTTATGAAATAACTCTGCAGTGTAAAAGGGGGTGGGACATTAGAATATTAATATAGTTCAAGGGGGTGGGAAAATGTGCAAATGCGAGAATTGGGGGGGGGGGGTGGCACTAATTGTGATTCTTATAAATTGCTTTACTTGTATGCTTGTTTTTTTAGATTTTGTCATGTTTGTTTAAATTTGTTCTGGACATCGCTTAATTAATATAAACAATGATATTTTCGTTTTAAAACGATGTGTAGGACAATTTTAAGTTCAGCTAGTACAAAAAATACTTTGAATCCCATTAGACACGACCACAATTATCGGTGACGCTAACAGAATAACAAAGTGTACCGTGGAATTTGTTGACGTATTTTGTCAGAACTGAATGCATTTTAATATTTTAACACAGCCCTGTTCGATGAGCATTGGAATTCTTGAGTCACATGTAACAGGCTGATCGGCAGTTTCAAAAGATTATACCGTAATTATGTTGTATTGTACACTTTTTAAATATTAAGTTGCATTGTACCATTCGTTTTTTTAAACATTGTGTTGTATGGATGATTTATGTACGCATGCCCCATGGCCTATAGTGTGTACATGTTTTAATTAGGCTGTAGTGAATAAATGAATCGTCCTTCAAGAACTGTCATTGTGTGTTCAAACAAGGGTTGCAAACTACGATTTTAAAGAATATGCGCTGTTTAGAATATATCCTGTTTAGAATATGTGCTTAAACACATTTAACAGATGATCAAAACCAATTTGACTGTTATCAATTTTTGTTATTGAATTGTCAGGAGGAAAGTTTTTCCTCTTTTTTTTTTTTTTTAAATTATTTTTTTTATTATTAAAGACCGTGGACTTAGTTCATAATTGTTTGTTGGCGTAAATAAATTCAAGGCATTATTCAACCAATTGATTTTAATGTTATCATCAAAAATAGATCAAAATAAAATGATTTGAATATGAAAAAAGAACCGTTCCTAAATCCGTGTCCCGAGATCAAACTATCAACAAAANTGTCAGGAGGAAAGTTTTTCCTCTTTTTTTTTTTTTTTTAAATTATTTTTTTTATTATTAAAGACCGTGGACTTAGTTCATAAGTGTTTGTTGGCGTAAATAAATTCAAGGCATTATTCAACCAATTGATTTTAACGTTATCATCCAAAATAGATCAAAATAAAATGATTTGAATATGAAAAAAGAACCGTTCCTAAATCCGTGTCCCGAGATCAAACTATCAACAAAATTTAGTCAACAAATTCTATACAAAAATCGTACATGCAACCAAATAAAAAGGAAGAAAAAAAGCAAAGATGACTTTATTTTAAAAAGTTAAAATTTTACTTACATCAAAAATTTGTCCATGAGGAGTCCAGGACCACCTGCGACTGTTGTAATTGAAAGAATATAAAGATTTTTCTTTGACAGCCAAACTGTTTTTTGTATCTCCAACTTCGATTTTAATGGTAATTGAATTCACTACCCATCTGCTGATTGGCGCCCAGTCGATCAGAGATGACCAAAGGTCGTTGCTGGAACTCTCCGGGACCTCAGCACCTTCACTGCTCGTTGCCGCATCCGCCATCAGCCGATACTGGCAGTACGGGCCGACGAATCCGGACGGGCACCGACATCTGCAGTTGCCCCACACGCTGTTGGAGACCAGGAGTCGCCCGCCGTTGGCGCAAGGGATCCCATTGCAGACTCCGACACTCCGGGACTCGGCCAGGACAACGAAGGTGGACAGAAAGACGAACAGGAGGAGGAACGAGACAGCACCGTCACGGAAGAACTTTCTGGGGAGGTTCGAAAGGGTTTTGTCTGTGAAGGCTGAAGATAAAACAGTTTTGGTGGCGGAAAGACTACTGGGCACCCGCAGAGGGGCGCTGGCACCGTACACTATCATCGTCAACAGCGAGGCGAAGTAATTGCGTACAGGGTTATTGTTTGTATTTGCTGATCGAGGCACGCCGGCCGTGGATGGAGACGGATTAAAAAACATAATTTCTTGATCGGAGGCTAGAGTTTGGGAATAATGATCAGCAGACTTTCGATGTGTGGATTCAATAATTGTTAACCGAAAAACGCGCTCGATCCAATAATCGCCTGTATACTTAGAAAAGAAGCTCGTATATTCTTCTCGATAATGTAGCTCTATAATAAGTCAAAGTTGTTTTATTTTTAATAAAATAAACAGCCACACAAAGTTCAAGATGATACAGCTGTCAACATAACTTAAGAGTTCTTTAAGAGTTGGGCGGACTGAAGCAGACAGCGGCCAGATAGTCCTTTAATACCGCCGGTCGGTCATCTGCCTTTTTTTTACGCCCACATGGGGTGGGGGCATGCCACGTCAATGGTGAATCAAACTGAAGATCAGTGAGACAGCTCCCGTGGTTTCTTACACCACTCCCTCCTCCCTTCACCATTGCACGCGGGGAAGCATCGTAAGCTGCACGCGGATTACACAGACAGACAGACATTTAATAAATCTTATATTTTTAAAAGCCTAAAAATTATATTACTATTTTAATTTACACTCAATTTTTAAGATAAAAATTTTAATAGAGAACACATGGGTGTTGGCGTCTACTAATCTAATTCCCCCCCCCCCCCCTCCCACCCTTTCCACCTTGTCAACCATTATCAAACATTTCCACCCCCCTTCCCCCTATTTTGTTGACATAATTAATGGACGAACCCTAATGAAACAAAACCAATGGAAATGTGGTCGGATTCTGCAGGGGAGTAAAACTATTTTAAAGAGCAAAGTGGTCAACAGTCTTACAGTACACCATTGGCAAAGCTTCGTGGCATTGCTGAGAAACTAAAGATATAGCTATATTTATAAGGCGCCTTTATGTCAGCTAGACAAAGGGCTATTTATTTTTATTTCAGATACATTTCATCAAATCATTTGAGGAGATCTCAGATCCGAAAGGAGATTAAGATATGAGACAAACGGAGTTTTTTTTTAACAATTGAGATGAAAAAACGTACTTTTAACGAGATTCGAACAAATGAACAACCCCCAAAATAAGTTTTTCGTATTATGAAATGTAATATCGAGCAATTTTTTTATTATTATTATTTGGAACGGGGGGGGGGGGGGGGGGAAAA